TCTCGAACATCGTGGCAACCAACGTTCAAGGCAAGTTATTCACCCTGTTTGCTCTGTCTACATTGTCTGATAAACAAAGCATACAAGCTCTTTTCAATAACCAAGTTCAGGTGTTAGGTTTGAGTTATCCAAATAGTTTCGTCTCATCTTTTCCGAGCACATCATTTGCCTGTTAGTAGCCCCCGTCCCCATGATTACACAATGTTACGATGTCTTTGGTTTGTGCGTTTGTAACAATGCATATTGTGCAATGGAATGTATCCGATTCTGGTTACATTCGATAAATCTGGTAGTCCGTTTTTCTCCCTTCCAGGGCATTGCCAAGCATGAATTGGTGCGCGAACTGCTCACCTTATTCGCATTAAACATGCGGCTTCAACGACTGTATGTAGAACTGAAAGAAATGTTGGAGCAATGCAGCACAGATACTACACTGTCGAGCTGATCCGCTCGGACACCGGTGAACACACGACTGTCGTCAATTTCACTCTATAGTCTGCTATTATTCCCCCGGATGAAACCAATTCCGTGCAAGAGAGATCCCGTTTATCTGTAAAATAATTTATACATAGTATATTTGTATTTTTCGTGTACAAAATATGCGCATACAATTTATCTTGTTTTCTCTTCATTTTTCTGTGAACGCCAATTGGGAAACCGTGGAATTCAAGTGATAGATGAGCCTATAGTTTTAATATTTTGTATATAGGCATCCAGCCAAACTCGGAACGACCTCTGAGGATAAAATGTGAAAAGAACGGAATGGATCATTGATCTGGTCAATCAAAGCATGAACGCGCAACAAGACATAAGTGGTATCCGCTTTAGTCAACAGACCTAGGAACTGAAGGAGTGTAATAGCTGAACAGAGCGCTTGCTGTCCATCGAACCACGTCTGTTCAACAAGGTTTGACCGATTAAAGTAAGGAAGCACTGAAATAATGGCCGACTGTGATGCACCATTGAAATTTGATAAATCATGACAAAGTTGAACGTGGTAGGTTAAACAACGTCATAAAACGGTTCCAAGGTAAATCGATACGAAGCAGCAACGCAACATGCGTTCCGACTTGGACGCTTGGTGAATATTTATATTCATCATTTAGTCTTAAGGTACGTTGCTCGATAAATTTGCAGTCTGACAATTATCTGAACCCGCAGAAGTCACATAATAACATTAATCTGTTACCAGTCGATCTGTAACACACCAACCGTCAGATCATTGATAAGAATAAGCGATAAGCAGCTATCAGGGTAATTGGCGAATTTCCTCCCACCAGGAGATCTCTACAAAAATATCGCGACATGCTCGAAGCAGACCATTATCTTTGGGCTCCAGGTAGTACGCGGTTGTGCAAGGACTATAACCAGACAGACTGACGCGACAAAAGTTACGTTCAAGCGGTTTCGGTCACAGTCACATGGATTCGTTTGTCCTGCGTTTGAATTTCTTCACCATCGTCTAAATGTCTTCACTTTGTGTTTTTCGACAGTATTTGTTTAGAGGCCTATGGCTGATAAATGGAATACACAATTATCTGAATGAAAAAAATAATAAATTGGGATTCAATAAATTGAAAGAGGCGTAACAGTTTTTTACTGGACCGGATTGCCAGCCTTGTGCAACGTATTCGGTGTTTTCGTTGCTGGCGGTCAGTGGTGCATTCATAATACTGAGAAAAACGGAGAGTTCTTGAAACTTGATGGGCAATCAATCACCTTGCGGTTTCTATTTCTCAGTAATGTAAATTCTCAGATATCTTGAATGCTTCCTCACTTTTCAGCGCTCGTGAGTTGCACGAATACAGTGATTAAGAGACAGATTTTGCTGTGGTGCTTGGCATTTGCCAAATCGTCACTCAAGTGTTAGCAACCTAAGTCCTTACATGACATCGCAAGGGTTATGGTTGTATAAAACGAAAAATGAAGCTTGGTGCTTTATTAACATGCGTTTAGCTCCGATTAGAGAGCGAGAACGAGGATATTATACCCTCCGATGAACAAACAAAAATGCATTCGATTTTGTCTCATCGTCATATTAATTAAAGTTGGAGATCGTTTTATGAAGAATGTTTTTAACGATAAGCATTTCATAGATAAATTTCGATCTTCTCACTTCTGTTAGCTTTGACAAGCACGAACTGCTCAACAAAGTGTAATCACAGTCAATGTAATTGAGGCTTTCCTCCCGCTCTATACCGTCAAAGGAAGGTTAAATCCTGAATTTTGTCAAATGAGACGATTGCCATCTGTCTCCACAGCTCTCCCCTCCCATGTTTGCTGTGTGCCCACAAACAATTGGTAATTTAGCCACCTACTTATGATCTGATCAGGTGACCCCTATTGATTCCACACAAATAAACTGTTCATGCTATTTAGCGTAATCACATCACCTCATTCGGCAGGGAGTAATTGTGCATATTTTGAGTTTATCAGTTATTCCCAGATGTTCAGCTTCAGGTTATTCTGATCTTTCTGACTGAATGGTTCTTTGTTTACAGCACTGCTGGTTAAA